GAAACCTTAAATTCCTTAGAGGAAAATAGTCTCGCTGGCCTTTCCACTCCACTAATAGATTTATAATTAATTCTTCTTTCCCAATTTTCTTCTATTTTCACACAAGGAGCCGGAGGCTGGTCCCCACTTGTGTCAAATAAATACCAGTGGTTGCAGATTGACCTTGGAGAGAGAAAGGAGATCAACTCTGTCACCACCCAAGGGGGATATGGGAGCTCCAGCTCTGTGACCAGCTACCTCCTGATGTTCAGCAACAGCGGCAGGAACTGGAAACAGTATCGACAAGAAGACAGCATCTGGGTATGTTTCCTTAATAAGAGGTATAATCTCTTAGGAAAGAGAGAGTAATGTATAGTCCTTGCTGCAGCTGGTTGACCAATCTCTTATGTTAAGTTGAGACACAGAATCTTCAGAAATACTTTGAAAATAAGGCCTAATACAACATGTGGGCAAATGTTCATTTTCTAATATAGTTCATGGTAAATTCATTAAAATGTTACAGGTCAATTTATTTCACAGGATTCCTCAAAAGTGAGAAGTAGTCCATTAAACAGTGAAGAAACATAAGAAATGAGCAAGACTATTTAAAATTAGCCAAAGAGATTTTCTTTTTTTCTGATGGCTATAAGATTTCTGAAATTGTTGAGTATGGGGGTTTATATATGGAGTTATATTTGGGACATATATGTATATGTATGTGATTTATATAAAGTCTTTCTTAGGCTTTTTAAAGTATATTAAATACCATTTGTTGTGAAGGGGTGCAACCACTCTAAGAAAGATTTGGAAAGAGGCAGGTTATAACTGTGTGTGTGTATGGGGGGTTGTAGTTGACTGACAGCATATCGACATCTGATAAAAAAAGGAAGCTAAAGGAACTTGCTTGAGGGTAAACGGATCAAGGAATCCTTTGTTAGCGTATAAAGGTATTTGTTTGGATCTTCTGTGGGCCAGGGACAGCATCATACTGTAATCAAAAAATATATATATGTACATATCTAATCCCCCCAGCTGAGCTTCTGGAATGAGAGAAAATGAGTAACTTAATGAAGCATCACCCTTAGCTCACTGATAATTTGGAAGCCTATTCGGGCACATAATGATAATTTTTTGGACCTATCAATTGACTCTTTAAGAAAAAACTTCCTGGAACTATATTATACATTATAAATGCACTGAAGAAATGAATTGTGGCTTACTCACCTTGCTGTCTCTAAAACCCTTGGTGGCTGTTCAGTTCATGTTAAGTGACGTACGCTGAATTGAGAAGAAATAGCGCTCCTCTTTCCCAGAGAGAGCAGTGGGCTGGAAGCAGTAGCGTATATTTAAGAAAAGCTGCTCTGAAATCAAAAGCAAGTTGAAGGTCTGTGTGAGAGTGAGAAAAAAAATCCCCACAACTGGGTATTGCAGTTGAGTGAATTCCACCAGAGCCCTTCAAACTAGGCATAAAATAAACAGTAATTATGAACCAATAACAATGAAAGCTTAATGAGATTTTTTTTAACTAGGTATTTTGATTATATTTTAGGCTTTTTCTAAATTAAGCATTGGATTTTAAACCAGATAAGTAGTGGCTAATGTTTCCTAGCATTTAGCGATGTTAATTAAAGTGTATGTGTTTGATATGTTCTAAAAAGTGATAGATCAGCCATGAAAATTATTGTGCTTTTGCTCATCAGGTTGGGCAAAGCCAAATGTAGGCACTGCCATTTGCCTTTTTCACCTCCTCCTATCAAAGGTGAACGGTGCAGGGTGAAAGAGTGTCATGAGTCCTGTTCTTACTTATCCAAACCAGTAATACTAAGGGCCTGTTATCCTGTTATCTGTCACAGTGCTGTGGAGGGACTGCAGTGTTTTAGACCATGCTGTAATTTGTGGGTTTACTCACCGGCATCCCCTCTTAAGCATAAGCTCTCTGTGAATAAAGACCACTTCACAACCTCTCATTTCAGCAGTTCCAAAGCATAATGGAGCCTTGCATGTTGCACACAATTATGAAGTGTTTGCGGAATGAATGAATGAATGAATGAATGAATGGAAAAATGAAAGAATGATAAAGGAAAGCATGAAATGTACTTTCTTGTAAGATAATATTCTCATAACTAAAAGCTACTCTTTTCTGCT